CCCCCCCCCCCCCCCCCCCCCCCAGCTTTTCCGGTTCCCCAGTTAGCGGTTTTCTCATCAAAACTTTCACGTGGTCGCAAGCAAGGTCCAGACGTGCGCGAAAGTTAGTACCACGGTCCTGGGATGGAACTTGGCCGGGCAACTCGCTGGTAAAATTTTGGCGCCGGAGCTTGCTTGGCTGCCGAGTTGAAATACCAGGACATACCCGTGCACATATACACACAAACAAACCGGGATCGTCACAATATGCGTTGTTGCATTTGCATATATGTAAAAAAAAACGCGTAAAAGGTGATTCCACTGTTTAGCTTAGTCTGCACAAATTAAATTGGAACTTTGCTTGGGCAGTTCGAATTTGAATGATTACCTGTGTCAACTGGTGCTTGGTATATTGGGAATACGACCAGAAATATACATCCGAACAAAAACAATATCGGCCAAAACAGGTTCACTTGCAGTGGTCTTGGATACTTCTTCGGCGGTTGTTTCACCCTGTTAATTTTTTCGTTTTGATCTCGTCATCACTCCAGAATTTTTTTTAACAGAGAATATTCGAACTTTAGGCAGAAGAAAGCACACCTCAGGTACAGGAGTCCAGCGATAGCGACACCAATCGCTAAGAAATTCACAATTTGCACATAATTAATAAGCGTGTAAATGTTGTCGGAGAGAAGCAAATACGCGCATGACAATACCGCCTGAAAATGTCATAAACTTAGTATAGGTAGGGTGTAATGTATGCAGAAAAGTCGACTTACCGTATTCTCCATCTGCCATATGCGGCTTTTTTCACATCTTTGCGTAGCTTATGTCGTTGGGAACGCCGGACACTCATACTACCGCGGAAATCCTGGTAATTTTTGGAATGTCATCTCTTAGTTCAGCTACTCCTCACTGAGTAAGCTATAATTTCATGTCTTGTTACATTTGTCCGTTGCTTAAGCCATCGCGGTTTCTCGAACTCATTCACTGAAAGTCGAAAGCTACGTGACGGCATCGTGCTTCCCCCTTACCTGTTTTCCTTATAGGATTGACGTACGGATGCGAATCATGGTCACTGGCGAAGAATGTTGAACAAACACCGCCTGTGATGAAAAGGGCGGTGGGTGTTTGGAAAAATTTCTATGTAAACACATAGTAGTTTCTAATTGATACCGGTGTTGTAAAAAGTGTCACTGTTAAATTTAAAAAAAAAAAAATTAAAAACTGCTAAATCAGACAGATTTCCCATAATTCCTCGGAGGTCACAGGCTCGCAAGTGATTCACTGGGAGAACATGCGAGGACAATAAGGATAAAATAATCATTAGAAGGATGCTGTGTGGATCGCAGCGTACGCAAGGGATTTAGGGAGTACAAATTGAAAGCATGTAGCCAAGAGTGGCAATGCTGAACGTAAATATGGAAAGACTGTGGATCGGATTCACTGGCATCCATCCACGAAGCCTGCGTAAAACTCACGAATAAATGTAATCTTGATATTTTGAACGTTTGAATGAAACGTACAGTGAAAAGAACAGCAGGAATGGGAGTATTGAGATGAGGATTAATAAAGCTCAGCACGCGTGGCATATGTCCATAACGTCCGGCAACGTAAAATAATCTGAAAAACGCATGCTAAATTTTATTTGTAAACTTAACAGGGATTGTTCATCAGCTGTTTCCGATCTGAAAATGCTAAAAGGAAATGGAATTGGCCCATGCCTGCCTCAAAAAATTTGGCTGCACTTGCATAGGGAGAAATGTTACCTTTGACAGAATCGAGTTATTATGAATTAATTTAATTTTGGTGTTCATTTAGCTGGCACTCACTGATGAAAGCTGTCCCTGTTCTATTCATTATTACAGTAATGATTGCCAAGTAAATGTATACTTTTTATTTTTTATTTTTTAAGTGTTTTTCATCATTTCATTGCCCAGGCAACATCTCTTCAATCACTTTATCAGTCGCCTGCTGCGGGCACTCAAGGCAGCAACAGCTGGTTGTTGTATGTGAAAGTATCATCATTCAAATCTTCCACCAACCTGGACGTCTCCTGTCCTCTTGAAAAGTAAAACATGAAGAAGTAGTGGAGAAAGACTGAGTCTTTGAAGGAATCTACACTAAAATTCAAAACAGGTTACTCTGTCCAGTCTTCCCCTACAGCTTTTCATTTCTTTAATCCCGGTAAAATTTTAGAAACATTAATCTACACATAAACATTCATAACAATGACTTTCGTTACTCTTCCTAATAAGTGTTAAGGGAATCACCGTGATGATGTGAGCATAATACCGTTCACTGTGCCGAAGCATGAAAACGCCACCAAAACTGGCATGATCCATGCGAAGATCCCATAGTAATGGTCAGCGAAATCGACGGCGACAGCATTTGATGCAAGCAGCTGGTCAGGCGATATTCCTGACAAAAAATCATTTTTGCTTTGAACCCGTAGTGAAAAAATTAATTTCCCCCTCAGAACTGACGGGTTTTCGGGAAGTCTTCTGCAGTTCTTTCATTTACAGCACCAAAATCACATGTTCATGATTATAGGATTTGTTTTCTGATATACAGTGATTTCCTTCCTACAGGTTTTTTTTTGGCGTGTGTCGTGTGTACAACATCAACAGAACACTGTTCAAAAAATTTTGCCGAAAAACTGACATTTTTAGCACTTTTGCACATACGAGTTGGAAGACAGTTATTTTTTTTTTTTTTTTATTATCTGGTATTTCAGAAACAAAAAATTCAGCAAAATTTCAAAAAATTTAAACTTTTGAAAATAATTTTATGTAAATGCAACGGTATAGAAAAAAAAAAAAAGAAAAACGGAAAATGATAAGCACCCGTGTAAGTGAGCAGAGTGAGAAACCAGAAATTTCTAGTATTTCCCTATCTGACTATGCCGGTTTCCTGAAAGACTATTAACCATATTAAGAGAAATATGGAGAACTTGCAAACCTGCATAAAATGCAACGTTGGTCATTCCATAAACAATTGTGCAAATACAGCAACTGATTGCTATAGCTAAGGGCAGATTTCTGAAAATCTCGCAAGTTTCTGGTTTATAAATTGTAAGCAAGTACAGTTTTTAGGTTGGGTTAGTTTTTAAGCTGTGCAAGTTCAGTCTTTAGGCCTAGGTTCCGTTTATTACAAAGTTAGGTTATCCGAGCGAAACTAGTCGCATTTTCGATAATAAATGGTATGGCTGTAATGAACATTTTTTGATCCGTCGAAAAAGCTTATAGGCAGTCAATCAAAATTTTTCGGTTCAAAAAGCCTGAAAATTGGTTAACTCGTCATTTTTACCCCACAGAAGCAGGTTAGTTTTTTCTATCCCCCATTACAATGCAGTTCATCATGGTTCACAAAAAAGAAGTGAAATCATTTGTTATTTTTCTTTTTAAATTAGCTGGCAAAATGAATGGAATTGACCCAAAACCTTGTAGGATTGATGAGTTCTTCTGTGATAAAATTCAAGTAGTTCCATCCGTTATAAGCCCAAAGACCGGAATAAAATGCAAGGGCAATTTCGCCAGGTTCCCACTTTGAACCTTCCCAGACGTCTTCAAATGAGTCTCGATACGCTAAAATGAACACTTTTAAATTTAAGCAATTATTCATGTCTTAATTAGCGTGGAGGCAGTTTTTTTTTTCTTGCTTTGCGATGCATAGCGGTGAATTCTGAATTTTTGCCGTAAGGGCGGCTGAATGAAGGCATCGATTGAAAAGTGAAACTGGGAGAACAGAATCGAACGATCTGAAATTTCCAGCTTGGTAACCAAAGAAGCTTCTCATAATCGAAGCAGCACTTACGATCTCCGTGGATTAGAAGTATGATTCCAGTCACAATAATCAGTGCCAAAGCCGCCAGTTTTGCAACAGTGAAAAAATTCTGCACAAATGTGACAAATTTCATACTCATGCAGTTGATCAAAGCAAGCAGCACTGCAAACATCACATTTTTTGAACTGCCCACTGAACATCAATAAATATGCGCTACCTGTGCATGCAAACAAAACCATTTTGCTAGTCTTCTTTCCGATTCATGAAAAAAAAAAAAAAAAAAA